GGTGGTGCGCGGGAGGGCGGGGCGGCGGCTGGGGGGGGGGGCGGGGCGGGAGGGGGGGGAGGTCCAATGACTCCTGGGTATAAAACTTACACTCACTTATTTTTCTTCAAAAAATATATGTGAGTTCCACAAAAGGTTCATTTTTAGAACAGGCTTAAGTCTTCTGCCTTCGAAATTTAATGATCTTAGCATTAACACGTTAGTTTTGATAATACTCTCTAATTTTACTTAAACAACACTTAAAACTTTATTTTTTAGTCAAGAGTCATAGATTAAAAATCGAGAGCGAAGTGAGATGGCAATTTTGTGTGCATCTATTTTAGACGGTGTTTGTTTCACTTTGGCCAACAAATAGTTTTGGACTATCTATCATCTGTGAGTTGAACAGAAAAATCGCAGCACAATATTTGAAGAGATATACGTTGTTCTAAAAGTGTCAGTCGATAATGGATATGCTGCTTAAATTAAGATCAATTCAAGAGCTGATGGGCCACGATGTGATTGTCCTTATTGGAGCACCATGTTCGGGCAAAACTACACAGGGAAAACTTCTGGCAGATGCTCTCGATCGACCATATCTGTCACCTGGAAGTCTTTTTCGTGCTGAAGTGACCAAAGGTACTGTGTTAGGACAACAGTTAGCAGCATACATGAATTCGGGAGAGACAATTCCAAATGAGTTGACAACAGCATTTCTTACTATTAAATTCAGCGATCCACTCTACGAAAACGGTATGATCTTAGATGGATATCCACGCAGTGTATCGCATCTTGCAGTTCTTGAAAATATCTTGGCAAACCTCGGTCGACGTATTCTTGCTGCTGTCTATCTTGACGTACCTAAGGCACAACTTGATGAACGTCGAGTTCGACGTGGTCGTACAGATGACAATGCTACTACTGCTGAACGTCGATATGCAATATTTAAAGAAGATATCACTCCTTTACTCAATTTGTTGGATCTAAAAAAGAAACTTCTCAAGATTCGATACACCCCCGAATCTTCTGAAGAAGTTCTTCGACGAATACTTATAGAATTAGCTGCATTTAAATCATAGACTTCGATATACTTATATAAAAAACCTTTTTAAATAACTATTTTTTTCACTTGTTGCATTTCCGTTTGATTTGATCTTTCTGTTTCATCGTTGATTAATGTCCAAACTGAAGAAAAAATACAAAAATATCTTATTTAGAAAAGAAAGTTTGACAGAAACCTTTAAAAAATTAAAGTGGTCTACTACACGCTTTACCCCCAATTAATTTCAACTAAATTTGAAATGGAAGCAGACATTTAAGGCGATGTAAAACACACAAAAACAAGTCAGAGTCTTTCATTCAAAAACGTATTTGTAAAATGCAATTCGGCAGGCATCAGAAGCATACATTTGACTCTCTACTTACGCACTCTTTTCGAGGAAAACATTCAAAGATTCTTTTGTGAAAAGGATCAACTGTTTTGCTTTATTTGAAACAGAAATAAGTTTTTAAGCACAGATGCATGACTTTTTCAAAAGCTTTAGTACATGAATAATGTGTTTCCACACTAATCATTATTCGTAACAGAGTCGATGGATCAACGGATAATATCACAAGAAGCAGAGTTGCTGAATTTCTCATTAAAGTAAAAACTTTTCCAAGGGGCAAAAGTTATGGCAAAAAATTTCTTACGCTATACAATTTAGATTAAAAAAAAAACAAGTTATTCTTGTTTAATATGTGTATTCAAAAACACAAATACACTTCAGGAAACAGAGAACATTACTATTTAATATCATTTGGTTTAGATGATCTTACTAGCTGTAGTTTCCACAGAAGATTTAAAATAGTTGTGTGTGGAGAAACTAGTTTTCAAATTTGATATTGTTTATCTTTTATATGACTGAAATAATCATTGACTGAATTTTTAATAAGTAGATTTGTTAAATGTAACGAATAGTTAATGTGAATGTGAATATAAAAATAGAGAAAATCATGAATACTATCTGCTAGTTCTTTGTTCCTAGAAAATGTTGTCATTACTTCACACAGGTGTCTAAGCATTGAACACTCTTGAAATACGGAATTAAACTGACTCGAATACTGTTATTCCACGTTCATTATTGATGAAGTTATTAATATCAGTTTCCTTTCATCTTGCTCAATGATGTGGCAATCTTCGTCATCGATTGTGGTTGTGCACAAAGTAAATGGCGTATCTTGCTAATATATTGCAAAGTAAAAATACGTACGATATATTGAAACACTTGATGATTGGATTGCTTTTTTTGTTATAACTCGGTCAGATAAATTGAACTTTCATGAAATATATAGCAAACACGTAAGAACCTTACATATATAAATACATGTTGATTCTAGATCGCATTGTTCTTCATTCACCGTTTTGTTTCTTTTCTTTTCAATTCAATATACAATAGAATGAAAAACGTTGTATATTCAACCATTTTGGAAAGACGTAGACAAAGCCACTTGAAGAGACCTTTAACTAGGTCGAAATACGTCGCGGTAGCTATTTGTATCTTTGATTGCGATCGAGGATATATCTAAACAGACTTTCACCCTCAAGCAAAAGTTGAGATCTAGCAGATTGATTTATGTCTTCGATATACAATTTTGTCTGTTTTACATTGATTATCTCGACAAAACTATCGGTCACTAAAAAGTAAAAGTAGAGATTAGCAGATCCACACATACAGCCTGAAGATTTTAGATGATGCGATTATAATTAAAACCTAATATTAGAATCTTATTGGATAAAAAAGCGATGAAAAAAAATCAGAAATTGTTAATTGTTTTTTCAGTAAGCACTTGTTTTATTTGTCTCTTTCAAATATATTTTCTTTATGGATAATTAGCTAAAATAACGGCAGTAAAACGTTTGTGTTTTTAATTGGTTTTAAAGTTAGTAAACTACACTAAGGATAGAGTTCCATTTTAAATTATTAATCACTGTAGTCAATATTGAACATTTGTACACGAGAGTTTCCCATGTCGACAATATAGAGATTTCCCTGTTTATCAAATGCTAAGCCGGTTACGTTTAATAGTTGATTGTCTTGGTCTCCACCACCATTTCCACCTGCAATAATATCACCTTGTTCAGCATCTTTTAACCAACGCATAACTCGTCCGTTTAAATGATCAGCAACATATACAGTACCAGACTGATCAACAACAATTCCGCGAGGATAATTCAACTGTGAAAGACTTTCACCTTGCCTTTGTCCACCGGCAACGACAACACCTTCTTTTGCTCCATTTATCCATTTCATCACGCGATGATTACCTCCATCTGATACATAAACAGAGTGATCTTGAGCGACAAAAATGGAATATGGAATATTCAATTGATCAAGAGCATCACCTGCTCCATTTCCACCAGCTACTATTATACCTTCATTATTTCCAATATCATATCGTGTAACTTGATGTCTATCACCATCAGTAACATAGATAGATCCATTTTCATCAATTGTTATACCTCTACAGTCGATATTCGGGATAATTGTTTCACTTTGTATATCATTTTGATAATGCCATCGAATTACTCGTCGTTTACCAGTATCAGCAATAATAAAACTGTTCCTTTTTCTATCAATGATAACATCCATTGGACCATATAACATGTGTTCTCCAATCAATGAGTCGCCTCCACCAGCCACTACTCGCCCTTTTTTTTCACCACTTTTCCATTCAACAATTCGATTATTGATTGAATCAGCAATATAAACAGTTTGATTCTCATCAACAAAAATACCAAACGGGGCAAATAGTTGATTTAGATCGTTACCGCTCCCATTACCTCCAGCGACGGTCAAACCATTCTTTTTCCACTTAGCATTACGATTGAGAATAGTAGAACGTAGAGGAACTAAACAGATATGAATTTCGCTAACATATTACGATCGTAAACTTTAAATGAACAATCAGAATGACGATTTTTAAGTATAAAATAGGACAGACTAATTTTAGAATCTATTCGTGAATTTTTATACTTAGGGATATTCACTCGACAAATCGATATGTATAAAGAAGAAAGTTTGTCTGTCTGTTTGTTCGCTATGCATTCAGTACCTGTAATAGCTATCGACGTGAAACTTTCCACGATGCTTCCATGAGTCCAGAGAAAGGTCGACATCTACTTTTTTTCCAAAAACAAATAAACGAGGCATTTGCTACAGGCAATCTACGAAACTGGCCAATAGGATTGCGAGATTGCCAAAAATGATAATAATGATAGCGAAGGCCGTCTGAGCGCTCAAAGACAACAATCCACGTGTTCTCTACGCCTATGATAGTTCGGTGAATGCTACCGATAATCTGCGAAACTCACCAGTAGCGTTACAGGATCTTAAAAGATTAAGATAACTGTTGAGGGTGGGTGAATTCGGACGATATAAGGCATGAACTGACGTGAGAGTGAGAAAGAGGTCGATGAATGAATAGCTGGAGTGAAAAATGAATATCAGAGAAAGAGGAAATTTTCATAATTTCTGAGTCAGAAATTAGCTTCGGTAACTCTTTTGCATGAAATGATATAGCCGAAACTGGCATTTTATGCGATGCACAGCGGGCAACTAAGGAGTGGAAGCGTAGAAATTTGAATTATACTGATTTCCTACCTGTTGTAACTCTTCAACACGTGAAATGTTTGACATAGATATTTCTTATTCGCAGCGGATATTCCCTCTATTAAACTTATTAAGAGTCGATTAATATTCTACAAGTGTGTCACAATTCGAAAAAAAACACTCAAATTTCGAATATTTTCTAGGAGACGGTTGCACTGTATAAGTTTAATTAAACTGTATAGTTTTGAACCAAAACAAACTAATCGTCAGAGAACTCATCTTGGAAAATTATATATACGTACCGCTTAGTTGAATTTTCTGGGAAACAAGAATAGATTCTGCCGTATACGCGGCAATTGCTTCTGATTCGAAACTTGTACCCACTGTAGATAATTCACGTTCATCTTTGAGAAACCAAATGAGAAAAACGCATTTTCCAAACCAATAAAATAAGAGTAAATCACAGAGTTTATGCAAGAAATATTCAATGCAACCAATTGATGAATAAATGATCCAATAATTCAACAGTTTTTTGTGATCGAATGAGCCAGGTGATTGAACTGTCCATAACCTTAAACAATTCAATTTACATCAAAATAAACATAAGAAACTATTTTAAAAGAATAGTAATCATCATTATTTATCTTTATCAAGTATTATATAAATAAATCTACATTAAAAAGCGAATGAGATGAACACGTCATCTAGCCAAACATTGGGTTTGAATATTAATCTGCAGACGTATACCAAATTCTTTAAAGAAATTTTCACCTGCCGATTTTCGACAACAAATCGAATAATTTTTTTTTCTCTGATTACATAGGATTATTGAATATTTTACGACATTTTTCCAGTCTTTACTAACTCGAACATTAGAAATGAAATTTCCATAATTATTTCAAATAAGATGAAGATGCTACATAGCAGACAGAATGTATTACTCTATTCTAAACTAATTTAATAAACAATCAACTAACAAAAAGATATTAGTTATTTTTTCTTTCGATTATAATTAGGTATATAATCAATCATGAAAACATTCTACAAGGTTTGGCCAAGCTCAGGTTTGACTATTTTTATATATTGTTAATTGCTTTTTCAATATCTCTGCTCATTCAGTTTTTGATCATTTAATTTATTATGTGTAGACTTATCAAAGACAACTCTGAAATCTTCTCTTTTCACTAGCTAATCGATAGGTTGAATTCGTAGAATAATCCATATAACCTATCCAGAACATACTGATGACACTCGCATCGGATTCAAAAACAAAAATTCGGTCTTACGATGGATATACTGGATAAATTAGTCCGATGAAGTTACAAACAAAATCGTTGCACCAACCAAAGATCAAATAGATGGAAATAAAACCGGATAGAACTAATCAGTAATATTAACATGTGATATGAAAAATAAAATAATGATGTTAAACATACCAATAAAAGTTATTGCAGGTTCAACGCCAGTCTTCATTTCAATAATATGAAGGGGTAAGTCAAGTGGACCTTCGAAGCGTAACGGCATCAATTTATTTTTTACTTTACGACAGCATTGTTTTGATATCTCAGCCATATTTATTTGTAAGTAAATGTATATCTGAAATATAAACACACAACAAATGACCATTTATTAATGAACATGAAATTTCTCAATAAATATGCGTCAATTTCAGTGACTAGGTCCTCGAGCCATGTATTTGGGGACCATATCTCTAGGCCTTCAAGTCTAACATACTACGCGAGAGAGAATATATTGATTTCATGATTTCTTCAATTCATCCTAGTTTTTATGACTTTCAACGATTTCTCCTACCAACACTATACGCCTGAAGAGCACGGGTTGCTCACTATTATAGGGCAAAACATAGGATTGTTCAGGACATATGATTTGACAAAATGAAGAGTAACATACGCTCAACCATGTTGATATGCATGGCAAATGAAATAAATGTGTGCAGTATAATTTGTTTATGATTTCTTGATCGTCAAATTCAGTTAAACATATCGGACATTTTTCAGCTAATTGAATGGATGTCGTTGTGGTCCTTTCATTTACAAAGCTAANATGTATAAAATTGTTATAAAAATTCTCGTTACTAAGTCATTGTTTATTGATGTATATAAGTCATCCGATAGTTTTGTGCATTTATTATTTCCCCAAGCAGCTGATGCGTTTATTTATGAATTTATTTCAGTTAAAATTATTTTTTTATTTATTTTTGTGACGGTCTCGCTTTCATGCGCTGTACGTATGTTATTGTCCTTAGTTCGCGCATCGTGACGTACTTTTCTATTACCTTTTCTTTCCTTCCCTTTGATGGACAAGTATATAAATGCCTGTTTTGTATTAGAACGATGGGTTTCTTGATAGGCAGAAATAAAATAGCGACGCGGCTCCATAAGTGCGAAGACTTCTTCCATCAAAAATCGTCACCATTTTATTCGATGCAGTAACTATGTAAACTTAATATCTGTGACCTCATTTAGAATAAAACTATGTAGTAATTTATCTTCTGAGATATATTTCTTGATATCAATTCAGTCTTTATCCATTGATTAAATAAAAATGAAATTAAGAATTATTTATTTTATATTATTAAATACATTAATGAAATGCGCTGCTCATAAACTTTTTTTCAGTTCAAATTTTATTAACGCATGTATTCGGTACGATAAATAAAAAGAAATAATATTATTAAATGAAAGTAAACATGACTGAAAAATTCTAGAAAATGCTCGTATTCTTAAAACAGATGCGAATCTATCGAAAAGTCCAAATGAATTCACCTCCGAACTTCTAATTCGACAAAAATGAAATCTCAAATTTCGATTTCCTTCAGTACCGAATTTTGCACAAAGTAGAAATTCCATGAGATGCTTAATTCGAGTTAGATAATAAGTCGACACCCGACAAGCTAATACCAATTAGAATATAATTAGATCTCTATATCATTCTTATAACAAATGACTAGACACGAATAGAAATAGATTCAGTTTCACTTATACCTTTACAGACCCACGTCGTTGCGAGTTTAGGGATAGCTAAGAATAGGAATAGATTGAGTTTCATTTATACCTATACCGACCCACGCCGCTGCGAGTTTAGGAATAGATAGGGATACATATAGATTTTGTTTCACTTATAACTATATAGACCCACATCGACACTCTTACCTCCATCCTTACCCGTACACGCCTATATCTCGATCGAGGGTGCCGCTTTGGGTGTTCACATGAATATACGTTGAAGGCATGGATGTGAGGATATATAAGTATAAGTGAAACTAAATCTATTTCTATTCCTATATAGATGGTGATGGCAGTGTGGTAGGAATAGGCCACTTAGATTATAAGTCGAATTAGGCAGCTACTTAATTTTTTACGTTTATCTTTCACTGAATATCAATATGCACACGAATTCTTTGGATGTGGTACTGGTTTAATGTTCTTCTGCATTAAGGGTTTATCCTAAGTTCTAGGGTGATTGTAAAATTCATCGCTCATAAATCATGTTGATATTTTATGTATCCTTTGTTGACATAAAGAAATACTAAAGTTGGTACATTCCTTTATAAGGAACAAGTTACTATTAACAGTCAAATAATATTATCTTCATTCATATTAGAACTTCGCGAATGAGTGAAAAAGTAACGTTAGTCACTGTATGCATCATTACAGATTTGGAACAAAGATGATTACTGAAGCAGACAAAGAAATTGTCAAATCTACTGTGCCACTCTTGCGGGAAAATGCAAAAGAGATTGCATCGACATTTTACCGAGATCTATTTAAAGCTCATCCAGCTTTATTGAATACATTCAATCAAACTAACATGAAGATCGGTGCTCAACCCTTAGCATTGGCAAATACAATTTATTTAGCTGCAGAAAATATCGACCATTTAGATGTACTTATGCCATGGATATATACCATCGGTCATAAACATCGGGCTTTGATGGTCAAGCCAATTCACTATAGAATTGTTGGCCATTTTTTACTCAATGCTATTGCTAAAACTTTAGATGACAAAGCCACACCTGAAGTTTTAAATGCCTGGTCAGTTGCCTATAGTACTATTGCTTCGGTATTTATTGATGTAGAGAAGGAATTATATGCTGATCTCGGTGAAGATGGACAAGAGAATTTTATTTCATTGAAAATTGTTAAAAAAGAACTGATCGCCAATGAAACAATTACTGCCTTAGCCTTGGAACGGTGCGATGGTAGAGCAATGTGTCCTTACCTTGCCGGACAATATTTAACTCTTCGTGTTCAAAAAGAGGGCCTTTTTTACAATCGACATTATAGTCTCACACATCCATTCAATAGTAAAACATACAATGTGGCCATTAAACAAGAAAAAGATGAACAGCCACTAGGTGTCGTTTCTAATGAGATAACTGAGAATTTTTTTGAAGGTGACACAATATTGGCTTCACTTCCAGCTGGTAATTTTGTTTTAGTTAATGACGCAAGCCATTATCTATTCATTGCTGGAGGTATCGGTATTACCGCACTTCTTGCAATGATTAAGGACCTGAAAAATAAAGGCAAATTAGATTTGGTCACTCTTATCTATTATGTGTCGAGAAAAGGTCAAGGTGCTTTCATCGAAGAAATACAATCTCTTCTCGACAAAGATCAATACATTCCACTTGATAAGAGCAATCCTCTGACAAAAGATCTTCTTCAAAGCAAACTTACTTCAAATACTCAAGTCTATATGTGCGGTTCCCCATCATTTCTGGACACTGCCAGAACATATCTGTCAGAATGTAACCATCCAGAGTCTCAAGTATATTTCGAAACATTCCAACCAAGATTATCTCTTCTAAAAAATGCAGCTAACAATAACTCGAAGACGCAAGCATTATAAACTGACTATGTCAATACTTATTCAGAAAAGAAATTCCTTATTAGTACCTATGAAATCATTATTAATTAAACTCCTATAATTTTATTTTATTTTATTTCTTTTTATTCACTCTTTCAGTTTTATTTATACTACACTAACACTAACTCAATAAAACTCCATAACTAATAAATTTTAA